CATATACTACAAAGTAAATTATGCACCCAAACATTCTGTGCCAGGTTATGTCGATCTGTGTAACATGATAAGCAGTGTAATAATTGTCAAATTATGTAACACACAATATATGTAGATAATAAATGAACTTTTGAAATAGTATCGCATACGTATTATGTATGTATGTATATAACTATATCTACATCATTTAGCCCTAGCATACCTACGTACATAATCAATAATTCAAACTTGTTTCATAGAGTCTTAGATGCAAATTCTTGTCGCAATCTATTATAAATCTTTGCTGCAAAGTCAACTTCGAATAGAATTTATTAAAAAGTCTTGTCTAGTCGGCATCTTCACTATGATGACTTCACAACTGTAATGTTAGTAGCTGTTTATTCAAGACTTCTTATATGAGCGAAAATATTTAGTTAAAACATAGTAATTAGTGTAACAAGGTGATCAAGTTATATTAGGCAGGTTACAATTAGATACATATATACAAAAACTTTATAAGTAATCAGGTTACAATCAAGTACATACGTACAGAAATTTATAAGTAATCAAGAACATATGCATAAATAATTAGGTCACAAATTGGGTACATATATACAAAAATTTATAATTAATCAGGTTACAAATTTATAAGTAAAATTCGTAAGCAATTAATAAGCTATTTATTACGTATCAGACTTAAAATTTCTAACGCTAATCAAAAAATCACTTTTATTCTTAATAATCATCTATATTATATAAATGATTGGCTTAATTTTATTTAACCTAATCACTTACGTTAAATCATTATGAAATTGGAGATTTTTGCCTATATGTGATGCAAGATATGATATAACCTTGTAAATATTACCAAACATGTTCAATTTTTTTTTTTTGGATAGCCTCAAATTTGACGTATAACATAAAATATTTATTACGTAATACTTTAATCTTTTAAAATTTTATTCTATCGCTATATAATAAATTTTTTATTGTAAATTATATAATATCTGTTCAATAAATAATTTATAATGATCGTAGATAATTCCTCTATTCTTATTAATCTGCGCTATGGATTTTTCATATATAATACTGCCAAGTTGCTGAAAATTACATGTTCAAACCCGCTTAAATAATTTTTGTTTTTTTTTAGTGTTAAAAAAAGAAAAAAGAAATAAAAAAAAAAGAAATAAAAAAATAACTTATTTAATCACAATATTTAAACTTAGATACCATCAATATCTTTATTTCTGCTTGTACATCCCTGAACTATTATATTTGAATCAACTATTACATTATTAATTCAATGTATTGTTCAAAACATTTGTGCACAAGCTATGTCTAGTTTTGTTTGTTTTTCGTGCTTTACGTTTAGGGATTTCTTGAGGATCGTTTTCTTTATTTGCAATTCTTTGTTTAACGTTTGCTTTTCTTCGTTTTACAGATTCCGGTTGAACTCGAATCATCGATCCACTTTTAATACGTGATAAAGTATCCAGGTTATGATCATAGAGAAAAGTAGTTACTCGTCCAATTGATAGTGATTTGGCAGCTTTGTATCATTCGACAAACTTATCAAATGCCATTCGTAATTGTGAGCCGCAGTTTTTATAATCACTTTCGATTTCCTTTAAAAAATTATTGAAAGATGAACCATCAAAATCCGCTGCTTGATCCTCCATTTCACTAAAATAATATTATAAAGTTGTTAGTATAAAATTTTATCTTTTATATATAATATAGTAAAATAGTATAAAAAATTTACAAGTATAGCGAAAGTACATAAAATTTACAAAAGAATAAGAGTAGCAATAAATTCATATGCGAAAACAAACCTAAATTCATTACTTGCATCAATCCTCCTTTCAGCTATTGTTATTATAGGTAAATCTTCATTTCCATTTTTATTGTTATTTATGGTATCACATTGATCGATTAAAGCAGGCTTTGGGCGTAATGATGCATAAAAAGAACGATCCTTCACATTAAGTCCTTTAAAAAAAATAATATAATGTTACACATATATATAATATAACTTTAATTATACTGATACTAACCACATGCAATATATGAAAAGGTTATGCGATCATCGGGCGTTAATGAAGGTAAAAAGTTTATGTTTCTAATATGATATTTCATGGCTACAGCACCTTGGTGCTTACATGGTGCACCTGTTAACCCAATAAAACAATTGCATGTTCCAATAGCACTATTCACAGTATAGACAAGCCCTAATTCTTTTTTTGTACTTGGTACTAGATATTCATCCATATTTTCTAGCTGACAAATTGAATCTTTATCAACAGTTTCCCAACCAGGACACAAGAATCTCCTTGCAATTTCCATATGACTGGGATGTCAATGTGCAAATCCATATAAACGACGTTCATAAAATCGTTCCATGTTCTTAGTAATAAAATAAAACACTTGAACCGAATTAAAAGCCCGAGTCCTTGCGAATATAATGTCCTTAAGCAAACCAAAGCCACGTTCTATATAGTTATTTGTGTGATTACCACGTAATAGTAAATTTAATCGAAAATAATGTGCCCAATCTTGTCGGCGATTCCAAAGATGCTCATAATGTTTTGCAAGTAACGGATATTGATGATAATAAGTGTTTTTTAATTCTTGATAATAGTTATTAAGATCAGTTTCTGTACGTGCATACAAAATTTTTTTCATTTGATTCATAATGACTATGTGATGCTCTTTATTAATGCCATGTTTTGAGCTGTATAGCCAGCGCCAGAATGCTTGTAATACATGAAACATACATAAAAACAGATTAGATTGTGGCCAACATCGTTTTAACGTACTTCGTTCTGCAGCAGAATCATCAGTTAAAATATTTTGAGGCCCAACTTCACATCCACGACCGAAAAATGCATGTTCAGGAAGAATTGATTTTAAGAGATTAATAGCTTTTTCAATCGTGGTTGCAAGTTCATCAGATGTAATAAATAGTCCCAATGGCAATGCACCTGCTATACAGCTTGTATACAAAAGTGTTATCGGCGTATTTAAGGGTTCAAATGATGCAGATGCATCTACATAACAAATTTCTCCTGCTTCACGAATCTTCTCATGCACCCGATTCATTAACCTTGTAACAATACACATTATAAAGGCTTTTCCCGTTTGTGAGTTATATTCTTGAAGAATTGCACGCCCGTAACCTGATACATTATAATTTGCAACCTCCTTACTTAGACGCTGAAACATTGATGCCCCATTTTGTCCACCAAGCTGAGAATTCCGATACTGTTCAAAAAGATGCAGCACATAGGTATAATCAGGATGAATCGCACGATCAGCAAGAATTTCAGCAAGGTTTTCATTCGATGAAGCTGAAAGATGTAATTTATCTTCATGGGTGTATAAAGCAGACGCGAGTGAGTAACCATCATGAAACATTTGTATAAATTTATTGCGTATTTCCTCATTTACACGTCTAAAACTAAGCGACTCAGCCGAATTAACAATATGATTATGTTTAAAGCAAAGTTTAACCTCCAAGGAATGACTAGTAGTTATGCGCCGATGTTCTAACCGTAAACACAAGGTTGCTGAACAACCTGTATTTCTATTACGTGATGATTTTGGATATTTGATTTCAGAGTTACCTTGTTTGTTTCTAACTATTTGACTATGAATGCAATATCTTAATTCTTTAAAAATAACTCGTTTGCCTTTAACCCCATATCCTTTCGTCTACGATATCGTTGTTTTGGAGTAGTTTTCAAAGGCGAAAAACTATGCTTTTATATCTTCCAAAGTTGAAACATTGATAAACGTATCAACCTCAAATTGCTGTATTTCAAAGCCCTCATCAGTATAGTATGGCGGCAATTTTATAATACGTCGAATCATGTAACTATAATTTGGAGGAAAAACATCCTGTAAAAAATTCGGCAAACAGTGCCAATTAAATATCTAAAAAAACATACCATTTATTATTATTGTTATTTTATTATGAAGAAAACTTGTATTACTCATTAATTTAATTTACCTCACAAAAAGTTTCATCGTCCGTATCATTAATATTTGTAATGTCTTGAATTGTTTCACAAGAATCACTATCCAATTCATTATAATCAATCTTTATAAATTATAAGATAGAAAATACAATAGTTAGACAAATGATTCATAATAAGAGACGCATGTACAATTTAGCTTACCCCGGTGTTCTTATCAACAACTATGGTATCAGAAGCATTCATTTGTGTTATAACATTTGTAAACGTATCGTCTACATGATTAGTGAATGTACTACTTGGGTTATTTATAAGTGAATCCCATGTATGATTTGTAAGTAAATTCCATGTTTAATTTGTAAATGTTTCATATGTATTATTTGTAAGCATATTTTCAATATGATTCGTGAACGTATCTTCTATATAATTCGTGAACGTATTTTCTATAAGATTCGTGAATGTATTTTCCGTACAACTAGGAAATGCATTTTCAATATAATTCGCGAACATGTTTCTCCCTATATTAATCGTGAACATATCCTTATTCCCATCTGTATAATCCATGAATGTGAGGTTATACTTTCGTAAATGTGAAGTTGACTTCTGTAATTAATATAAATGATGTGTAAATTACTATTCAAACAAGAATTTCTTATATATTAATTACTTACGTATGCAAGCTTGAATCTTTTTTTTTTTTTTTTTATATTGTTCGTCTTTCTAACTGCCGTACACTCTTTTTTTTTTTTTTTTTTATGGTTCGTCGTTTCTAATGCCGTACACTTTTTTTTTTTTTTTATTGTTCGTCGTTTCTAACTGCCGTACACTATTTTTTTTTTTTTTTTTTTTTATTGTTCGTCGTTTCTAACTGCCATACGCTATTTTTTTTTTTTTTATTGTTCGTGCACTAAGTTTGATATGCTTAAAGGTTTGTATATGTATACTATTTATGCACCTACTATCCTACTTCCATTACACTTCTTTCTAACACCAGACTTCTTGATTTCCAACTTCCACTAAGCTTCACCTTTCTAACAACAGATCTCTTGCGATATTTATTAGGTTCTGGTTTATTGAGGGTAATGAGACAAAGGTTCATTCACACAAATCGAGGTAAAAGTTCATTCACACAGATCAAACCCCATATTTATTTATTTTCTAGTATGCACATTTACATCACTGATTATATAAATTATTAATATACTATAATTATGAATATACTATAAATTACTATCGCTACATATAAATTGCGTATATACTACGTATAAATTACTATCAATTACTATCGCTATAAATTATATACTATAAATTACTATCGCTATAAATTATGCTATAAATTACTATCGCTGTAAATTACTATTGCTATAAATCATTAGCAAACCGATGATCACGATATGCCCCTGCACAACCTAATCTGGGTACTAAATAAACGATTATCTACAATACGACCAGGGTGGCCACTGCATTTACGGGTCATGTGATAATATTATAATAATGCACGATTATTAATCAATTGATTAATAATCGTGCATTATTATAATATTATCATATGACCCGTAAATGCAGTGGCCGCCCTGGTCGTATTGATTATCTACTTTGCATAATTATTTGCATAATTATTTGGTTACACTACATAGATCGACATAACCTGGCACAGAATGTTTGGGTACGTAAATTATTATTTAAAGAATAATAAAGTACCTACCTTCAACTATTCTAAACTCACTCAGCTGCCTTAAGATGCCTAAGTGCGATCTGCTGCAGCAACAATTTCTCTCACAGAGACTTTAGTCTGCAGGTACAGACTCTAGGCCTCCAGTCTGTAAGAGGCTACTACTAGTCTATATCAAAACTGCCTTATTTTGTTTTAATTTTTAACTATCCTTCTTTTTTCCTTGTTCTTATCCAAATATCAACTCTTTCTAATGTTTCTTTCTGTATTCTCTCTTCTTTTTCTTTTATTTTTTTCTTTTCCGCATCACTAGGTTAGACATTTTCTTTGTCCTCATTTTCCTTTTTACTTCATTTTTTCTTCTTTTTATCCTTAGTCGAGATTTGGTTCTCTTTTTCCTACTCAATCATAATTTCATATTGAAATTTCTACAGATATTCGAAAAAACACTCCCAAAAGTGTTTTACAAAGCTGACTAAGATTCTGCTTGCCTTCTTTCTTGACTGAGTTATTTTGCT